GTCGAGTGAAGAGCTGCTGACTTTTTTTTTCCCTCATTGCACTCCCCGGGGAAGGAATCCCATGCAGTGACGTATGCTGGAGCGGGAGCTTCAGAGCCAGCATTACCCCGGGAGGACAACAGATACCGCTGTGTGACGCAGCTTTTCTCAGCTTAACTCTGACAGTGAAGCGGAGGACTTCGATGTTTTCAGTGCGCCGGAGGACGATGAATGAGACGTTTTGTTGGACCAGAAACTGTTAAAGAAAACTACCAAAATAAGGTCAGTTAAATGAACCGTATTCCTCCGAACTTTAATTCCTAAAGGTTTGCTTTTTATGTTTTGATGTTGAATTCACTTTTTTGACGACAATTTTGGGTGTACTCTTTTATGTTGGGGTGTGGTTTATAGTCCGGTGCGGCTTATAGTCCGAAAAATACGGTAGTTGAAAACGCAGAAAACAGCTAAAAGAGCTAAAGAGAAGAAAATGTAAGATGCATAAATACGACAAATTCGCAGAAAAAAAAGCTCAAACAGTAAAAAAAAGCAACAAGAWGCAGATCTATAGTTAAAAGCTAAAATTAGCATAAAATAAGCTAAATGTAGCAGCCCCAATTTTTAATTGGCACCCAAACAGTGGGAAAAAAAGTTAAATTGGCAGAAAAAAATGCATAAATGTACATAAAGTGTCAATTTGTAGTTAAATAACTAAAAAAGCCAAATTTTTAAGCAAAATAGTTTAAAAGAAGCTGGAAATTATTTAATTAGCATAATGAAGCATAATGAGCTTGACGTTGCAGAACTTAGCAGAAAAAAATTTATTAGCTACAAAAACTATTTAGCTTAAAAAAGCTAACTTTAGCTAATAACAGCTAAAATTAGCTTAAGTTGCAGCAAATAGATGAAAATAGCATAATGAACCTGCAAGAAGCACAATTAACATGAATCAGCAGAAAAAAAGTAGAAAAAGGCAGAAGAATAGCAGAAAGAAGCTGAATTTTAGCTGAAATAGCAGAAAATAAATAAAATTAGCAAAAACGTAGCAAAAAATTAAGACAGAAGTTAAAAAGAGCAGTACCAGACCAATGAATCTGTAAAGATTTAGAAACATTTTAAAGGATTTTAAGGATATTGAAAAAAGCTCCATTCATTTTCAATGGCAAAAAGTGGCTAAAAAAAGTGAAATAGCTGAAAAAAATAAAAACAGCTGAAATACCAAAAGTCATAGCAGGATTGTCATAAATGAGCTGAACGTTTTGATATATGAATTGTTGAAATAGAACAAAAACTGTGGAACGAGTTAGATGCCAAAAAACAAACATAAAGGAAGAAAAGATGAATAGTGTGAATGCTTCATAGCCTTCACATAGTAAGTTTTTGTCTTGTTTCTTTTCCAGCACAGAACTTGAACTCACTGGGTCGATGTCCCTGGCCAGCTCAAAGAGCAGAGCAATCGTCTCCCCCGCAGCAATCCTCATGTTGACGTCATCACTCTCCAGCAACCGCTGCAGTTTGGACAGGTGTCTGCACAACAAAACACGCGCATTAACAAAACATTTAAAAAAAACAACTAATCAGGACAGGATCTCACTTATGCAGGATGTCTTTGAGCTGATTGGCTGAGCAGATGGTGAGCAGCAGTGCCCAGGACAGAAGGGCGTTGATGTGGAGCTGGCTCGTCTGCGGATTAATCATCGGACAGGTACCGTCCGCCTTGGCGTAGGACCGGGTGAACAGGTTCTCGAAACATTCCATCGTGGCCTGCACATCCTAGGAACAGGTTGTGTCGAAACAAACAAAAAAACAAAAACAAAAAAATTCTCACCAACTCATATTTGTCAAGATGGATTTAGGCRCAACATCAGCACCAATAAGGAGTGAGAATCTTAATATAAAGCTGTCACAGCAACACTAAAGTGATTAGGAACTTACCAAAATATCATCCTCTGCAACAAGTGAGCAGAGCCCCAGGCTCGTCGCCACCTTTTCAAGAAACAAAAACCTGACATGAGCGGAGGGTTCACATTCTTCTGCAGCAGTGTCACTAGTCACTCACAGCTTGTCTGGCTTGGATGTTGGCCGATCCATCTGCCAGGAGGTTTTTGAATATGGGCTTCAGGGTGTTGAACACCTCCTTGCTCTCGATCCCWGAGCCCAGCTGAATGCACAGGAGGCAGGCTAAAGAAGCCGCCGCTCGCTGCTCCTCCCCTTTACCTGGCAGAGGGCGGGGACAGGAAGTAGGATTATTGTCGCCGTGCGACGGCCACCGAGTAAAGAGGCGATAGCAGGGGCTGATCGAAAGTATCGGATTAGAAAATGACCCGAAGCATTTTTTTATTGATTTGTATTAAGAGTAGCTGGCAGGTCTTCAATTTGATGTTTTACATTGAGTCAACCACACTTTCTTCAATACAGCAGCAACTAGACATGGGTTTTTACGATGTAAAAACAARTGTGCATTGCCATGTAGCATGTCATTGCCGCATGGCTTTGCCTGCAGCATTGGACTTTAAGAATGAAATGTGACCAAGTTCAAATGTGTTTTCTGCCAGCTTGTGCTTGTCAAGTCAGCAGGTGTCTGTAATGAGCATAATTGTGTAACAATATGAAGTTTGTAGAGATTTTTTGTTAAAGTTGCTTTAGCTGGATTTAGAACCATGATCTCCCACATGAAAGCCCATAGAGTTAACCATGAGACCACTGGAGCTGTGGCAGAGGGTACTGWCARGGGTTGGTTTGTATGTGTGCAGAAAGAGGCCACATTGCCAATGCAATTGTTGACACTAAACTGCAATATACTACAGCAATAGAGCAATATTAGGACAATATTATAGTAAAACATCAAAATACAATCATTAGTATTGTAAACACTGAACTATTGAGATTAAATATTATTAAACTATGGTGAAGTACTGAGTAGATACAGCAGGGGGCAGTATTGGACAAATACAAGGCTCCATTGACTCCCATTATAATAACATTAATATTTCAAAAACTATAAGTTGTACAGGCACCAAAAAGTCATAGCCATCATTTGGCACAGGAGCTTTACAGAYATAAATTACAATGGCAGCTCTAGGACAAAGTATGCAGGAGRAGAAGCATGGCAAAGTTGAGATGACTTGGATGGGAAACGAATCACAATAGTGTGCATTGCACTGATAATACAAAATTAAAGATTGAATTTAAGAAGATAGAATTTAAGATTGTGGAACAATCTGGAAAGTGATTAGAAAAATGCTGGCTCAATAAATTCATTTATTAGAATGATGTTGAAGAAATGTGAATGTGCATTCATAAGAACTGTTGTTCGAGAAGGAGTTAAAGTTTTTGTTATGTTTTGTTATTTGAAGACTTATTGTTTCAATTTATTTTTGAAAAAGGGGCAGATATCAAAAAGAATATTTTTCTTCTTTCTGCTACCTTGATTTTATTTGTGTTGTATTATTTGTTGTATGTATGRCATTTGTTTTGTTTTTAAATGAAATGAATAATTTTTTTTAAATAATACGAAATTAAAAGATCCTCAAGCCCAAATTGCAGTTTAATCTGTGGGTGACCAAAGTTGCATGCGTCTTTGCCAGCATACAGCTGGTCATTACTGGTTAGCAGTGTTAGCATCATGGCTAGCAGCACAGTGATGGAACATCTTTGAAGCAGCACAATCTAAAGCCTAATTAAAGAGCATTACATTGACAGTAGGGCTGTGCAGTATTAGCGGTAGACGGTAGAAACGATATGAAGTTGGCCTATGGTAGAAATTTACCCTCTACCTTCCTATCRTWGGTTACGTCATCGCACCTGTGTCAACATGTCTGTGAGTGCAGAGACAACTGAGCAGGAGGAGTTTGAAATATAATGAAGAAATTATAGTGTTTTAAAATGCGTAAAGAGAGAATAAATCCTCAAAATATCCCCCTGCCGCTGTACAAAAGTTATGCTGTGTCGCGGGACCATTTCCTCCCTCCCGCTCCACGTCCCGCAGAGCGAAGTGTTAACAAYCGTAGATTTTTCACACCCAAGTCGTCGGAGAAAAAAAATGTTTTTTTTTTTACATATTTGTTACCCACAGAGGTGATAAAAAAAGATGTGGACGTTCGTTCAGTCATAAATCCATCTTGCTAATGTAGCCTAAAGTCGGCTTCTGCTCTGATGATGAAGATGAGAGCACAGCAGAGCAGCGGGTCAGTTCAGCAGGCAGAAGCTCAATGTATGGCAGGCAGATATTACATTTATTTGGCTTCACCACACTTACATTCCAGTTATCTGAAAYTGTTTTATGACAGGACTATGTGCAGCTTAAGCCTCTTAAGGTCCTGTCACACTATAACATTTTTGACAACATTGAATTTTTTATGTCTAAATGACTAATTTTATTTGAAGTTGTGGTTATAACATCCACATTATTTTGATATTGTTGAAAATTTGAAAAAYGTTTTTGTTTGCTGTTGAAACGGTTTTGCAGTATAGCTAAAAATAATTTTGTATTTCTGTTATGTTAATTTACACCACAACAAAAATACTGGCTTTGATTATGATTACATTGTTCGGCAAAATAAATGCTCTAAAAGTTACATTATCTTTGCTTTTTATGATAATTTTCTAYCGCGATATATACCGTTACCRTGAAGGGATCCAATTTATACAGTGATATGAATTTGAGGACATACCGCCSAGCCCTAATTGACAGGTTAGCTCATATTGTTCCTCGAGTATCAATAATGGGTGGAGATGATCATTTAATCTGCTTGAAGGAGGACAAGGAACCAACATTCTATTTTYACATGTCTGTTTATGGGACAAGTATCAAAATAAAGCACCAGCTTCATTTGGACTGACCCTTARGAATGTTCCTAGCAAGTCACCAGTGTTTAAAGAGATCACGTACCTTTCTTCAGGCAACGCTCGATGCTGTCAGTGATGGTCATCCTTCTCTCCGAGATGAACTCATACAAGATGCGTGTGGCCATTGCCGTCTTAAGCCCATCCAAAGCTCCTTGTCTCGTCTTGGCACTAAAGAAACAAACGTTTAATTAATACTTAAATAATGTAAAGTTWCRAAGAAACTTCATCCAAGAGCATAACTTAATTTATAAGCTAAAGTAAATCATTTACAGCTACCACTTGTATGACAAAGTATCGCCGGTACTTTCCCTCTGACAGGAAGATCACGTTTAGTGGAAGTTGACRAGCAACATGTCAGAGTCTGAATGGAAGCTCAGATGACGTGTGGAAATATGAGATCAGAAAAGAACTTTAACCTCTTATCCACAGTGCTGTCTATGAACCCTTTCAGCTTGTACTGAAAATCCTCCTGGGCTGTGTCCTCGCTGGCCTCTCCACCTGCAAGTCAGTTCAAAACTTAACTTTTAAGAGTATTAGTTAACAAGTATGTTAATTATAAAAAAAAAAAACCTACCTTCATCTGCTACACTGGCTGTGTCACTGAAGCTGCTGCAATGACTGAGGGTCTCAATGGAGGCGTCCTCATCACTAAAAGGCTGCACAGCTCCATGCTGGCCCCCTAAAAAACAAGAATTTATGAGCGCAAGAGACGGCTTCAACAAACATTACAACAGCAAAGTCATTACGTAACCCAGGCAGGCATTATGTAGGTATTGCAGCAAAAGCCAGAGTTATCTAATCAGCCCCTTCGGAAAGCTTAACCTGCAGGTGTTTCGTAGGAAAACCTCGTCGAGGTCAACTGGCTTTTAGATGCGTGCGCAAACAGCAGAGCAGTAGGTTGGACCGACACGGGGTCACTAAAGGGATCAACGTCCTCCCCGGTGTCCTTTGGCTGTGTCCAAAACGGCAGGACGGGTCCTCCGAAGGTCGAATTCGTCACAGCGCCGTGACGAAGGACGTCCAAAAC